CTTTTAAGGCCGCCGTGATTTGCGATCTCCAGCAGTTTTTTTACTCATTTTGCGAGCTTCTGCGTTTTGTTTTGAAGTAATCGGTCACGTGATGGAGAAGCGTGGCTTGACGTGTGTCAAGCGTGACACAGACGGATGTAACGCAGAATCCGGGAGTTTTTCAAAATATAACATCTTTTGCATTCCGAAATAAAACTGAATTAAGGCAAGTTCTTTCTGTGCGGCCCGGTACCAAATCCCCGGCGGACCGGTACCGGTCCGCGGACCGGCGGTTGGGGACCCCTGCTCTATTGTACGCAACCTTGACATTGTACTCCCCTTGTGAGTTCAGTGTAAAATGTCAATATTTGCAAGTATTGCCTTAGGACGGTTCCTGTTTGTCTTTTTCCAAATGCTGAAGAAATCTTCAGTTCATGAAATATGAACATTGACTCTCACCGAAGATAAAGCATGCAGATCTAAAGTTTGCACTTCACTGCACAGCCTAAATTTGAGCTTTACCTAAAATGTCAGTCGTACATCAACCGTTTACTCTTCTGCAAAGCTCACAATATTGATTTGTGTACTACATTGAAATTAGGGCAACAACAATTAATCAAATGAATCATTTGGTCATCAGAAGGGGTTGAAGTGAAATCTCTGCCTCAAACCTCACAGGGACTAAGGTTACTGCAGTCACCCGCACCACTCCGCTTGGGGCGATGGCAACGAGCAGGCAGGAAACGGTACATAAAAGACAGCGAACGTCCAGAGTTCGGGATCATTTGACATTAAACAAGGGCGATAAAGTGGAATTTGTACCATAACATCACATCAATGATCACCAGCCCAAAAGAATGAATCAATGTTTGATCATTTATGATGACCTACCATCGTCAGTTCAAAGATCGTTATGCCTCCTTCCCATTGAAATTAGTATATTTCATCATTTCAATAGCCAGTTTCGCCGCAAGTTATATTTCCCTTTTGATCAATTACCACAAAATGCACTGTGAAAGTAACCTTCGGTAAATGTGGCAAAGGCATCTCAGGTTAAGACAGTTACATGCTGCAATGACAGACAGACTCTGTGCCGGCCGTTGTTCACCACTAATCCGCCTTCTTGGAAAAAGCCAATTAGTTGGATCCCTCATTTGTTCAAGCTCCATACTCCTGAAGAGTCTGGAGTTTGTTTTCCGGACGTCTATCTTTCGCTCTGTCGGCTTGTCGTGTGACAATGCTGTCCGGGCCTCACGCAAATGTACCGTCTATTCAAGCCTGACCTCGCGTTATCCCCCCTCCTCAGACGAGCCAAAGAAAAAGATGTGGAGAAGTGGGCAGTCGGAATTATTCTTGCGATAAATGTTGGAAATGTGGCTGTGAAAATAACAAAATTGACTGTGTGCGCGTGCTTTTTTTTTTTTTCAATGAAATTTCAACGAACGGTGTCTCCTTCTCATTTGATTGACCCCCCTGAGGGGAGCGGGTGGCTCTTGTCGCTCCTTAACCCGCTTTGGTAAACTGGAAGCAAGACTCTCTCACATTCTGGAGTTGGAATGAGGTCCACAATTTTTCATCGCTCTGGCTTTGTGCATACATTTTCCTCCTCTCACACGCACTCCCTCAAAGACAGATGGGGGTGGAGGGTGCCTTCATAAATATTTCCAATCAAGTGCATGAAATGTGCTCATTTCATTCTTGATTCCATATCAGCATCACCTGCTTTGCTTCTCCATATGTTGTTGTAAATCATGGCATGCTTTAAATCGTGGGTTGCTTTACTTTGTGTCTGGGTGTTAAGATATTCTCATACTCTAAATTGGGCTTCAAAGATCTTAGGCCTGCATTTGTTTCTCGAAAAAATGACATTATGTAGAAATTTGGCATGATGTGATACAGTTCAGCTGTTAAATGTGAAAAATTATTTTGCAATTTTTCTAGATGAAACAATTTTGGAAACTGTTCAAATTCACTTGTATGAGGGCGTAAATCATCTGTTTACTCGCATATTTCCATTTCATCTGTGTTTTATTAATCTTTTTTTCCTTTCTCTTGATTGCCTGTTTTTTCTTCTCTCACCGCCTTATTTTTCAATCACCAATACATGAAATCACCCGGCTTTGCTCGAACCCCCCACCACATCCCCCCCAACTCTTATTAACACACGCCCGGCCAACGCAGCGGGCTTCATCAAGTCTCCCCTCTCCGTCACCAAGCTGCTCGACGACAGCGCCGAGCTGCATTGCGAGGTGATAGGCAGCCCCATCCCCGAGGTACAGTGGTGGTTCGTAGAGGGCCAAGAGCCCAACGAGACGGCCACGCAGCTCTTTGACGGGGCGCGCGACAACCGCGTGCAGATAAACGCCACGTACGTCACACACGCCACCAGCGCCGTTCACCTCACGAGCCTCGCCCTCGACGACTCGGGCACGTACGAGTGCCGCGCCTCCAATGACCCCGACCGCAATGACCTGAGGAAGACGCCAAAAATCAAGTGGATCCGCTCACAAGCGAACGTTATCGTGATTGAAAGTGAGTGGCCAAGGAAGCCCAAAGGAAGATTCGGGTCAAAGTATCTCCCCAGTAGACAAGACCTGGACATCCTACTCCCTCGTCAAAACCCACCCTTCGTTCTTATCAGCCCCGTAGCAAAGCAACCCCCTCCTCAGAACCCTCTGAGCTCCTGATATAGAAATGATCTTAATCCTTGATCTTTTCCCGTGTCTTGGATAAGATAACGGTGTGATTTTATTTATTTTTTTACATATAATACGGGTCACAAGGTTGGATATCTGAAAATGGCTTCAGAAAGTGCTTTTTCACACCCAGATGGGCATTTCATGACATTTCTTTGATTGGCTCAAGAGAAGAGAGACTGAATCGAAACTGCCTCTGCTGGTTACAGCTGATTAGTAATTTTGCTTCAGTTTAACGGGCGCTTTTTCCCGACACCAAATTTAGCCCATCCCTACTATTATTATTTTCAGGTTTTGCAGTACTGTGCTGTATTTTAGGCCACCACCAGTTACAATTGTCTGCTTCACAACCCTTTCACACAACGGCCAGATTGACATTTAAAAAAAAAAAAAAAAAAAAGGCAAAACCGAATTCCACAAAATTTGTCCTGATCCAACGTCCACGTAAATGTACCCATTACATTCTGGTGACGATCTTGATGCATGTACTGGAGGTGCACTATAAGCATCAAATGTAACGCTCTGGTTTTGTCTCTTCAGTTCTGTTCACTGCCTTCTACTGCGTGACTTGATTTAGTGTTGGTTGAAAAAAAAATGCTCACATCAGACTTTTGCACAGTACTGTAACCTATTTGCTTGAACATAACTTGTAAATCAACTTTTCCTGAGGGTTTGTAGCCTATTCCTTAGGCTCCCCTTGTAACAATATCGACGAGGAAGAGGTTAACACTGCTTCTCCCAGTCGTTTCCCCTCCTTGTGGACTCGTATTACTTCAGTCAGCGAAGAGGAACAATACAGTTCTGTTAGTCTGACTGAAGCGTCATGTGACAAGTACTTTTGTCCCATGTGATCGGATGTCCTTAACTTTGCTCTGCCATCTTCGTTGCTTCTGCATGTTTTTATTTGAATCACTCTCCCATCCTATTTAGTTCACCTCTGTATCCATTAGTTTCCCTCTCCAACGTCGTCCTTTCCATATTTCTCGTGAATATCATGCACACTATTTGTGTCACTAATCTTTTACACTGTTTAAATTTGTGAGAGGGCTTGAATTTTATTTGCAACACTTGACCATACTCGACAGTTGTTTCCAAGCACATACCCATTCAATTTTTTTGTATGTAAATAACCTCTACACCAACACGCAAGTGATCTTTTTCTCATTCCATGTGTGACAACCAAATTCAAATTTTATGTTGCTTTTTATTTAAATCCTCAAGACTGTGTTGAATCGAGAAGAGTAAATGTCTTTCCTCTTTTCGTCCCGTCTCAAGCGCCAACCATCATCGCCGATCCTGCCGAGGTTAACAACCAGACCTCCGCCGTGCTCAGCTGCAATTTGACCGACACCACTCTCGTGGTCAAGGGCTCTTACTGGACACACAACGACAAAGTCATCGAGGCATCCAAATCTACGGCCGCCAGCCACAGCACGGTTCTGAAGTGAGTTGCACACGTGCGTGGAGTACCTGAGGCATTCATTGCCATAATGCTAAGCTTCTTTCCCTCTGAGTCGATCTCATCTCTTCTCGCGCTGTTGCCTCCATTAGCAGCAGGGCGCTTTGTCGGGCACCCGCTGCTCCTGGTTAGCAGAGAGACGGACTGTGCAGACGCGCTGATTGTCCTGCGCTCTTGGCAGCACGGCTAAGCTGCGCTAGCGGTGCCGCATACTCACCCTGACCTTAATTTGCCATTCGACAAAAGGCACGACAGACAAACAAAAGCGCAATTGTGATGACCCGAGCATTTTGGTTTTTGTCGCTTGCACTTGCACAGAATGATGAATTGGCTTCATATTTATTTTTAATATGTACTTTTTTTGTGTGTGTATGGCTGTGGTCCACCTGAGTGTTGCGAACCACATTTCACCATTGTGGGACATTTATTTGTCTGTGCTGGGAGCCGATGGTTTTTAGGTTGGCACAAAAACACATGCCAAGAATCACCTCATAAAGCTGACATGTGAATATCTTCAAGCCACGGTTGAGGAATATCTCACTTCTCTGAAAATGTAGTCATTGTCATTCATGCTCCTTGGTCCATGTTCCTCTATGTCACTACTGTCCCTGTTTTTTTGGGGGGGGGGGTCTGCCTTGCAAGACCTCAATTACGAGCGACTGCACTAAATCTATTTTTCTTTTTTTTTTTCGTTGTGTCATCATCCACAGATGATCAGGAAAAGCAATTACCGATGTACAGATAGATGTTAAATATACACATCTAGCGACCCATTAGTGTCCACAATTACAAAACATGACGTAGAGTCCAGTCATATCCTGTGTTGTCATATTTTTCCACCTCCAGATTGGACAAGATCACCCACAGCTCCGGCGGAAAGTATGAGTGTGTCTTCCAGAGTGAGCCACAAGTGCAGCAAACAATTGAAGTCAAAAGTAAGACAATGATGAGACCCCAATTTTCTAGTCACCTGCTTCTTGAAGTAGCATTTAAGCCTCCTGTTGAGATTGTTTCTAACATGCGTGTGCTTTTTCCCACAACCGCTCTTCTCGGGGCTGTAGTCGTTTTTATTCCATCTGAAATTCTCTCACAAGATTGTTCCCGGGTTATCTTCTACCTTTCCCCCGATGCTTGTAGCCATCCCGCACGTGGCAGCCTACAAGCACTCCGAGCACGGCAACGAGAGAGACAAAGGCGTGATGGTGTGCGTGAGCCATGGCTACCCGCTGCCGACCGACTGGACCTGGTTCAAGCTTCAAGATGGCGCCCAAACGGTAAGCGACACTCTGTCGGCGCGTATGCCGTGACCTTGCAATTGACGATTAATGTCAGTCGCCGTCACACCGTTGAATGCCTCAGCCCATCATCAACGGTACCAGTGACAAGTATGAGATCAAGAGCACCCCCGATAAGACCGTACTGACCGTCAACGACCTGAGCATCGAGAACGACGTGGGCGACTACGTCTGCTCCGGCACCAGTGAAATCGGAACCAGCACCGACCAGATCCACCTGCGCGTTCGCAGCCGCCTCGCCGCCCTCTGGCCCTTCCTCGGCATTGTGGCCGAGGTCATCATCCTTGTGACCATCATCCTCATCTACGAGAAGAGGAGAAAGCCCGACGAGGTCACCGACGGTACGTGACACTTTGAAAATGGATGTCGTAAGTCCTAGAATCCTTGAAGTCGGTATACACTTCCAGACCAATGGGGTGCGTGAAAAAATTGCCCTTGCAAAAATAATATTTTAATTGGGTTTTGGTTGACACTATCACTTTATCATTATGCTCATTATAAGCGTTAGAAACAGGTTGAAATATGATGCAAGGCAGCACTACACCGATGCAAACATCGTGTTGGATGATTTAAATCGGAATTTACGCATATTTATCGAGGCAGTTATTTATTTTTTGATTTTTCATGTTTATTTTAAGCAGCTTCTCTTGACTCCTCAACGATAGTGCAGACGTACCCAATATTGTTGTGTCTGGTGGCTATACGTTTTGCATTTTGCGTAGCCTGTTGACCTTGTTTCCCTCCTTTGTAATTCGGCAAAACCGGGAGCATCAATTTGGCGCCGCAGTGCAATTGCACATTCACAGTGTAGTTGCATGCATTGAGTACAAAGTCCTCTTTGTCTTTTGGTTCTTTGTCATTATTTGCATTTTCTGGTAGAATTTTCACAATTCAGTTTCCGCTTGTGTGTACAACGATTCTTTTATTTTTATTCTTTACATTTGTACTTCTCTGTTCGCTGCTGATTTTGCATTTGGTAAGTGAATAAAACTGCATGACGGACTGAAGTGGTTGAGCTGGGGTGGCCGCGTGATAAACTGGAATGAACTTCTCTCTTGGTCACCACCTCTTGAAAGGAATGTGCTGAGAGATGTGCTCACTCTTTCACTGGCCCTTTTAGAACAAAGACCCATCGAGCTCCCTTTTTATTCTTTCTTATTGGCCCCGTTGACTTCTTTTTAAATGCATGTCTGAGCCAGAGAAAGAGTCAAACGAGACCAACAAAGTGACATGGAACCCGAGACGAAGAAAAATGGCGGCATCGCTTGCATGAAAAGTGCATCTTGTCCTCCGTGCATGATCAGGCTGTTACAGTGGTACCTCGAAGGTAGAACCCAGCAAGTTCCATTACAACAGCTGAGTTTCAATAGTCGTTTGTTCCAAAGTCCAAAATGCGTCACAAATGCAATTTCGAGTGTTGACTCAACCTACCATGGACTAGGGAGGAAACTGGACGAGCCAAAGAAAGCCCTTGCTGGCATGGGGAGAACATGCAAACTCCACATGGGAAGGCCGAAACCCGAATACAAACCCATGGACTCTGCACTGTGAGGTCGATGTGCTGACCAGTCGCCCACTGGACTGATAAAATTCCAGTTATGACCTGATTTTCTCAGTCGCAATCCCCCTCCCCCTTTTTTTTCATCTTTAATGTTAGTCAATATTCGTATGGAAAACATTCCAAGACAATGAATATAAATCATCCAATGTAAAACTAAATAGCGAAAATCCTTTACTCCTGTGGCCGGCTCGCACTCTTGAACAAGCAAAAAATTGGTTAGTTGCTTCTGATTCATAACCGCAAAACGGAATGTGCGGCTATCATGAACCAAGGACCCCCCTGTACGTTAATGCAATCGGCACCAAAACTTGCACACACACGCTTGACTTTTACGGCAAACGTGTTGCTGACGTATCTCATTAACATTAGCTGCCATCCAAGTATTAAATGAACTCAGGCGCAACCAATAACTGTGAAAGCATGTTGCAACACTCTTCATCACGGGTGTCAAGCATTTTGTCAACGTGTCAAAGCACAAATGACATTCAAGTCAACGGTTTACGTTTGAAATATGGCGTTCGGCGTCTTATCAATCCGTGAAAATGGGAATAAAACTCAAGTACAACTTTATTGTCAAATGCGCTGTATGGTCAACATGCAGCACAGATGAAATTTCTTCCCTCTCAACCAGACAACAAGAGCTCTGAAGTTAGACAAAGTGCAAGCAAGCATTTCCGGCTCTTGCAGTCAACATCTTTTCCTTGCTTCACGGAAAAAAAAAAAAACAGACTAAAGCCGCATGGTCCCTCATACCTCCACCAAGGAACATTCCCGGACAACCACGCTGACTAGAATCCAAGACAAACGTCGCAATTTGTTCACGAACAGTTTTCTTACATTGCCATCCTTCTTTCAAGAAAATCATCCTTTAATGCTGGCGAAAATGAGATCTGGTGACGGTTCGCACTGACAGTTCAGGAGTCTTGTGGACGTCAATCACTGTGACCGATTAAAGACTGTCAGAGAATTTAACATTTATGAATATATTAAGCGTATTTTGGTCAAAGAGAACTTGAAGACCTTTGGAGGTGCCACTGTCGTTATCTCATAAAGGAATCTGCCTCATTCCCTCCTTGGCTCCCGTGGAGAGCCCGTCTGCATACATGGCTGTGGTGTCGTCAGGCCACCGTTAGTTTCGACTTTTTTACCGTTTGGACGTCCAGATCCCACCCACAGTCTTCCCTTTTGCTGCTTGACCGCATGAGCATCTGTGGTGTAGTTTCCGACTTCTTTTCGTCCGAGCTTTATCGGCGCGTTGCCGTGCATACGACTGTACACGTTTGTAAACATATATATATATATATATATTCCTCGAAGGTTTGTGTTGTCAGAGGCAACAGGCGGGCATGCGTGAGTTTTCGATCTTTGTCCACCTTGCCAACGATTTGGAGATGAAGGCTGGAGTGGTAAGCACTTGGCACACAAATCACTTGCTGTTAACTGACTGCTCTTTCTGTCTGCCCTCCTCCTCCTTTTTTTTCTTCTTCTGCCGCGGTCCAGACGACGACTCAGGCTCCGCTCCTCTGTAAGTACCCGTCGGCACTCTCGCTGCTTTTGTTTGACGGCACTCACGTTGGCATTTTTTTTTTTTTTTTTGTCGCTGTTTCAGGAAGAGCAACTCCAACGCCAACCACCAAGACAAGAACGTGAGGCAAAGGAATTCCAACTAGAAGCGAAACGGGTACGCACACGGAGTCAAAATATTGTCATATCACAGGTGAACGATGCTCTGTTTATGACATAGCAAGTTAGGAGCAGCGCAGGGTGAAATCGTTTTGTCAACAGTCGCACGGACAAGAAAGCAAGCGCGGTCACCGCGATACTGTTCCACATGTTTTTAGTTCGAGCCTAGGAAGTGTTTACTGTAATGTTGCAGCCATACCTTATGCGGGTGCGGAGCTGTCATCAAGCTGTTAGGCGACGTTTTCAGTTTTGTTTACTTGCAATTAGAAATGGAAGTTTGCTGTCTGTGGGTCAGGACTCACCTCCCTAATATGTTTAAGCACACTGGTTTTCCATAGGAAATAATTTTAACCTTGAACTCCTTTAACAAAATTCTTAATTGTGAAAATGAGTAAACTGTTGTCAAGATATCTTAAAAAAAAGAACACATCATCACTGGCAAAGACCGAATGCAGCATTTCAGGGTGGGCTTTCTGTTATTTGTACAAAGCATGTTTTTTTTTTGGAATAACTATACTAGCTGTAAGAGTGTTTAAGTTGATCGCAAGTGAATAAAAATGACTGTGACAGAGGAAAGGCAAGAAGTAAGGACAACAAAACGGAATGAAAAAGCTGCGTAGCTTCCCGGAGCATCAATGTTGATGCACGCCACAGTAGAGCAACCACTTGAGAATTTCCCCAAATGCAGACTTTGGACATTAACACTTAATTCATCTCAAACACATCGCGACCATGAAGCTAAAAATATGAGCAAACGTGCAGCTTCACCAACTTTCAAAGTGAAGACATTATCGACATTTGGTGGTCAATGTCCATTACAGCAGTTTTTTTTTTCCTCTTTCCTAGAAAGAGGGTCCAGACAGCGGCACTCGTGTCCAAGATGTCCCTCTGCACCTCGTCCCGCACATCCTGCAATGTCAAATAACCCTTTTTTTTTTTCTCCTGTGCTTGAGTGTTAATGTCCTTAAGACTGATTTCCTCTTGTTCTCTTCCCTAATAATCTTCACCAAGCCGTGCTGAACCAGAGAGCTTAGTGTGTGAAATGCGTCTTTGCTTGCGGCCACGGGGCCACCGTTGCATGAGTTTCAACGCCGTCGTAGCCAAGTGTGTCTTTTTGTAACCAGAAAAAAAAAAATAGGAATAATCATCACAGCGTCTGAAATGAGGAATGCTAGTTAGTGCAGACAATCTTGTCAAACCCTGTGGATTGCTGCCATTCTTTACACTTTGATTGGTCCCCTCACAAAAATCCTCTCAGCAGTTTTAAGCCGCTTTTCCATTTTCCGTTTCGTACCGCAAGTGTGCACTGTGCAGTGGAGGCTTGCGCAGTCCAGTTGATCCCGCTCCTTTTGATTGGCGCCTGAGGCCAGGCTGACCAAGGCCATTTGGGTGTGGTTTCAGACCCTTCTGGAACCTTTGAAATGGGACCTCAACCGTAAAGCACTCTGCTTTGTGTGTGTGTGTGTTTGTTTGTTTGTTTTCCAACCGTAGGAAATCGATTGACTTTTTTTCACGTTAAACTTGTTTGTTTGGTTAAAATAAATATTGGTGTATCTATAAATAGGCTACATATGAGATGAAGGACCAACTGCAAAAAAAATTGTAACAGCAGTTGCCATATTGAAACAACTCACAACAGATATTGTACTTCCTTTTTGACTTAATTTGATCTAAATTTAAACCCTTCAGGGATTTTTTTTTGTCTCGTGTGGGATGGGGTCGAATCATGTAACTGTTAAAAACAAAACAAAACAAAACAGTGCTTTCTGCCTGAGTTGTGTTGTGATTGGATGTTGCTGTTTCAAAGTTACGACATTTAAAAAGATCTTAGCCAGATTTGTGTGAGTTAACGAGAATGTCACCATCTGTTGTACACCTTGCACAAACTGAATAAAGTTATCTAATTTTACACCTTTTGTCTCATTCCATCTGAATTGTGGACCACCAATTTAATTCAACAACTACACATTAAAAATTGTGATTGTATTTTTTGTCATATAGACCTACTAGTAATTGTATAGCTTACTAAAAAAGCTAATGTAATTTTATCTGCCTTTGTTTAGCTAAATGAGAAGGGTGAAAAAACAGTACTGATCCACGAGGGGATAAAAATAAGTAGTAAAAAGATGTCAAATAATGAAAGGTTATTTGGCCACGTTATCTTCAATTTGTTGTTCATTTTAATGCATGGTACCAATCAATAAATGCGGCCAATACCGAACAGAAGAAAACGGGATGCTTCAAAGCACTATTTTGGGCACACAGCTACAGACGTCAGAAGTGATTTTGGTTATCAAGAAAACCATGGAAAATGGCTAAATATAAACTCTTAAAACAAGACGGTACACAAAAGTGCTCAAAAACCACAGTAATGAATACGTATTTTACGAAGATTATTATTTCCCAAGAAATTGAAATTATTGTAGTTGCAAGTGTTTGCCACGAGATGGCGAGATTTTACCGTGGGAGTGTCCCGTGACCCGTCTGTTCGTTCACTGGAAGCAACAGGCTGACCAAAACTGTACATTAAGGTTTTGTTTTTTATAAAATGGGACTTAAAGGCGAGTACAAAAGCCTTGTTCCACTGTGTTAATATTTCATACAACTGATCATTTTGGGAAGGTTTCTCCTGACATGTTAAAAAAAGTGAGGGGTTGAGTGGACCTGAATGTGTGTGGATTTTTTTTTTTTTCGAGCGCGACTGTTTAAGTGTAGTTAAGTATACACAAATATGTTGCATGAGTGTTTTGTGCTTTGAAAGTGTTACTCTGCCACTATGCGTGTTGTTTTCTGTGTTTGCGTGTGCGCGCCAGTGTATTTGCACGCGAGTATGTTTGAGGAAGCGTGTGCGAACGTGTGCGTCGCGTGGTTTGTGAATGGGTTTGAGTTTAGTGTGTTGGCCTGTGTGAGTGAGAGTGCGCTGTGTGCGCGCGCGTGTCCCAGTGATGGGAGAGGAGGAGTCCAGTTTCCCCTCACCGGGCGCGCCCCTCTCAAGCTTCCGAGGATGTTCGACTTGGAGGAGGCACCTGCACCATGAAGAGACGCTTGCCGGGAGGAGGCGGGGCCGCCAAAAAGTCCAACAACAACGAGCTCTTGCTCCTTCACGACGAGCCCTCGGAACCTCACGACATCGTCGGCGCAGCTTCTGCTCGACTCTTCCAGAGGGATGCGCGGGACTCGGTGGCACCGGAGTCTACCGCGCTAGGACGCCAAGCCGGCGGTATGATATGCAACAAGAACGGAGACTGTCGAAGGGAGCCCACCAGCTCGGGGAGCCTGTCCTCACTCATATCCCGACAAGAGAAGCACTCCGATGGGGGAGTAGAAGCGGCCGAGGGCGGGAAGGCTGCGAGCATGGATGGCCCCGCGGGGGCAGAGGGACCCGGGGCCGAGGTCAAGAGCCCCGCTGGTTCGGAGAAGAAAGACTCCCGGGTGTCTTTCTCCCACGCGCCCGGCGGTAGAGGGCACACCTCGGCTCAGCTGTCCAGGAAGTCGTCCGCGAAGGCGGTGTCGGCGGAGGACGGCTCCTTGATCATGGCCGACGCTGGCGAGTCCAACCGGAGCCAGACGTACATGCAGCGGCAGTTCAGCTCCATGTTGCAGCCAGGGGTCAACAAATTCTCCCTGCGGATGTTCGGCAGTCAGAAAGCGGTCGAGAAAGAGCAGGAGAGGGTCAAGTCGGCGGGCAACTGGATCATACATCCGTACAGCGACTTCAGGTAGCAAGTGGCAACGCTGATACTGAACCAAACTTCGAATGCATACACCACATGAATATAGAGACAATAATAACAACATATTCAGATAGTAGTGGAGTGGTTTAAAAGTTTCAGGACTGAGGACAGCTACGTTCAAGAGACCATCTATCTCTCCCCATCATCTATGCACTCATCTATCTGTCCCTCCATCCGATCAACTTTTTATCCATTCATCGAGCAACCTCTCCACCATACATCACCAATCCATCACTATTGCTAATTTAGCCACCTCTACTCATCTGCCCATGCAACAATTTCTCTGCCATCCATCCATCTCCCCACCTAGCTCTCTATCAATTACACCATCCATCAATCCAGCCATCTCTCCATTTATTTTTCCATCTTTCTAATTTGTTAGAGAGTCAAACTGTCTCCATTATAAAACTATAGCGGCAATGGTATAAAATTGATTGCAATGTTTACTATTGTAAAATAAAACAAAAATGAAATGAAACTACCGTATTTGCCACTTAGCGGCATATTATTGGTCCTAGTTAAATGGGTAAAGCCTTTGACATTAAATGAATTGGATTGTTCATATTGACCCTTTAGGAATTCGCATTGAGTTCTGGTTCTGTTTATTATCACACTTCCCCTCATTGGTTGTCATCAGCGGTACCCTTCTGTGGTGGCAAAAAGCCCAAGAAAAAGCCAAACACACACGCAGACTTAATTGTTTGGGATGCTCACTGAGCTGAAAATCATGCACGGTGACGTTTTGAACTGTTTTATATTTATGATTAAGGATGTATTTATTCTTATTTTGTGTCAATATTTTCCCACAGCGTTTTGGTTGCACTCCAAACCACTTTAGCGTTGCAAGATTGTGTGTGATTGAGAGTGACATGCCTGTCCTTGGTCTAGGTTCTACTGGGACTTCACCATGCTGCTGTTCATGGTGGGCAACCTCATCATCATCCCCGTGGGCATCACCTTCTTCAAGGATGAGACCACCACGCCGTGGATCATCTTCAACGTGGTGTCCGACACCTTCTTCCTCATGGACCTGGTGCTCAACTTCCGCACCGGCATCGTGTTCGAGGACAACACCGAGATCATCCTGGACCCCAACAAGATCAAAAAGAAGTACCTGCAGAGCTGGTTCGTGGTGGACTTTGTCTCCTCCATCCCGGTGGATTACATTTTCCTCATTGTGGAGAAGGGCATCGACTCTGAAGTGTACAAGACGGCGCGGGCGCTCCGTATCGTGCGCTTCACCAAAATCCTCAGCCTCCTGCGCCTGCTCCGGCTCTCTAGACTCATCCGTTACATCCACCAGTGGGAGGAGGTAGGAACGCGCTGGTTTCAGTTTGAAAAAAAAAAAAAGTACTATCGAGCATTCTCAATATTGCAATCCAGAATATTTCCTTATTAATGTTATAAACTATAGGAAAGCACCTACATTGTTTTATTTCATGCCAAAAAAGAACTCGTGCACAGGAGATGACTTTTTGAATACAGACAGTGGAGCAACACATGTAAACAGACAATGTATCAATACACACAGCAGGCATATGTTCTTTCTACTCAACAAAAAAAAAAAAAAGACGAATATCACAACATCTTCCAGAGTCAGAGTAGCAATAAAAGAAACACTGCATGCCTGCATTCAACGGACTCCTGGTAGCCAAAGTGGAACAGCACAATGAATTGGATTGCAGTATTAATACCCCCATCATTATCTTCTTCTCTTTTCTTATTTTGTCTTTTTTTTTCCTCTCTCAAAAATTTACAACAATCATTTGGATTGAAAAGGGAAAACAAATCCTGAGAAAAAAAAATGGCATTTTGCCTGAAAAAAAATTGCGATTACAGTAAAGCTATACTATTACCCATATATTCAGGAATGCAATACGCAATGTCTTGTGACCAACACGGCAGCTGATGTCACTTATACTGTACTTAACTTGAGCTGCTTCGTGATCCCCAGCATACGATTGTTGACAGTTACTTGGAACCGGGACTTCAAAAATAACCTTGGGACAATGAGCCACATGCTGCTGCACCACGTCTAATGACAAAAACATTATTAGATGATCACATGTAAGCAGCATGTTCCCATTACAACTGCTAAATCAGTAGTACCAACCAAAGATTGTCTCTCAGACGAATTAACATCTAAGTCGTGTGAACATGTACATCATGTTATTGTCAAAGCCCGCCCGTGACATCAAGTCATTGTAAAAGTAGAAGCTTCAGTGGGCATAAAAGTCTACGAGAACATCAGAACAACTTAATTTGGGAATAATCAGAAATCAAATGGTTGCATTCATCAAAATGTGAATATGATTGGTTGATCCTGTGCATTGGCACATCCCCATTTATAAGAGGGGGTGCACACTTGTGCAACTGCATAATCAGACTTGTTCTATTCAACTTTGCCTCCAAAATATTTTTTTTCACACACACACACACACACACACACACACACACACACACACTCACACACACACACACACACACACACACACACACACACATTACTCGGCTACATAAACACAGTTAACCTCGGTGCACTGTTTGTATTTGTGCACGCATGTTAAACATAAATTCCATCCTTTCTTTTTCAAGATAACTGAGCTGCTGTGAATCACTGAAAACAACCACACAGCCTTTTAATTACCAAGCGGTAATTTGAGCTTGGGGAGAAGCCTAATTACTGTCTCCGTCACATACAAACAACTACGTGAACCGCACTTAGTACATGCATCACATCAGCTCACATCAGCTCGGGGTGGTTTGGCAACAATTATGTAAAACATGTCATGATACTAGGGGAATAACAAAACATATTTTGCGGGGGGGGGTCGGGGGGGGGGGGGGCATCATTGTTCTGCAATAAAACCAAGTTAAGCAAGAAACCAATTCTAGACCTGACCACCACTGAAGATTGGGTGGTCGCTGATGTATTATTGCATATTTTTTCAGAGAGGTAATGTGTGTGTGTGTGTGTGTGTGTGTGTGTGTGTGTGTGTGTGTGCGTGCGTGCGTGCGTGCGTGCGTGCGTGCGTGCGTGCGTGCGTGCGTGCGTGCGTGTGTGTGTGTGTGTGTGCGCGTGTGTGTGCGCATGTATAGAGACAGCGATAGGCATTGCCGGGAAGAAGCGGAACAATTTCCTGAGGCAGGAAGCTCTTTTCATAGGAGCTCTTCACTTGCTGGCACGAGGATGCTTTTGTTTTAGGACAGACTGAGGGAATGTGTGTGTGTGTGTGTGTGTGTGTGTGTGTGTGTGTGTGTGTGTGTGTGTGTGTGTGTGTGTGTGTGTATAAGTGTTTGCTTGTGTGTAAGTAAAAGTGATTGTTGTTGGAAATTTTCCAAAACAAGCATGTGAACAGATAACACAAGTGTCTTGAGACTTGGTGAAGCAGCATGTGGCTCATTACTCAAGGTTATTTTTGCACTCTCCGTTCCGCGTAAACGATTGTGTGTTCGTAGTCGGGAGGCGGCTCGTATTTTAGTAAAAGTGTGATAGCAGCCGATTGCAATCGTGTGTGTATGTTGGCTGGTCGTATATTCTGACACAGAGTGCAGTGTGTCATGGACACGCGACCACTTTCTGCTCGAGTATCATGAGGGGAGTCGAGGTGGGGCGGGGGTCCATTTGTGAAAGAGCTGCATGAATCATGTAAAGGGGATGCCGCTCGGGTCTCCTTTTTGCCATTGGACCTTGAAATTGTAAGAAGCATCGCTGTCTCAAAATAGAAGTTCAAGTCCCAACCTGTCATTCCTGAAATTTTGACATCCAGCTGCATCTTTTTTGAACAAAATATTTGGTTCAAACAAACATCACCTTTGTATTATAGATTTCATTGATTGTACGTTTATTTTCACACCCAAAAATATAATTTTCAATTCTATTTCTCATTTTCAAAAACAAATCCACAATTTCACTCAGTTGGTGTTTGTGCTTTGTTTTAATTTTTAATTGATTTTAACTTTGGCAACAAAACACAATGTTTTATGTGCCCAACCTTGAGTTAATTAATGTACAGTTTTAGTAAATTCTTTTTTTTTTTTTTTTTTTTGCACTTGGATACTTTTTCAGTGTAATCAATGGACATTTTGTTTTAGCATTGTAATGAATGAATTAATTAATTGACACAGATTTTCTATTTGAACAGAATCCCTCTTCATACCGCTCACAGAGTTACCAAAATAAATAAATAAATTGAAAAAAAATCATATGTAATCGTAACCCATGATCTGATTTTACCCAATATATGGTTATTCGTCACATTAACATGATCAACTGCGGCAGCAAATGACATCGCTATGAAGTTCGTCAAGTCCTGACAAGTAACCCAAAAGGAATAATGGACTTCCTCCCGCCAGATCTTCCACATGACGTATGACCTGGCCAGTGCCGTGATGCGGATATTCAACCTGATCGGCATGATGCTGCTGCTGTGTCACTGGGATGGCTGCCTGCAGTTCCTGGTGCCCATGCTGCAGGACTTTCCCTCCGATTGCTGGGTTTCCCTCAACAAGATGGTGGTAAGTACATAGTCACTGTCGTTAAATTTATATCGATACCAAGATGATTATGTTTTGCAAAAAAACGAATGAAATTGTTGAAACTAAAATTGAAAAACATTTTCCTAAATGAAATAAATAAAAACAAGAAATATATATATCTAAATATATGTTTGAAAAACAAAACCGAGCTGAAATTTCCTCTTATGTTTATGAAACTAACTAAAAATAGCTACAAAGCTCGAGCAAAAAAGTCCTTTGTTTTCATTTTTGTCAATGAATGTCTTACGTGTGCTTTAGGGGGTTCATTTTAAATAGATAAATTGTCCATCTGTACAGTGCAAAAGAAGGTCAAACAGTTGTTTGAAAGTCTTTTTTTTTAACTGTATAACACAATACTTCATAACGCTAGTTATGTTCTGTATAAAATTTAATTTGGTGTTCAAAAAGTCTTTTTTCAAACTTGAGTCTTGAAAAAGAAGGGTTCGTCTTATAATCAGGGCTGTCTTATATTCGGGACAATACGGTACTAAAAAAAATTTCAACTACAGCAAAGCATTTTCGATCAAATAAAAACGAATAAAAACTGCTCCAAAAATCTGTTAAAACTGACTGAATTTACAAAACAAAAGTCACAACAAAAAAAAAAAAGTAACTGTAGCAAAAAATTCTAAACTCTTATAACCTTGGCATTTACTCTATTGTCAACATTTCTTTTGAAGACTCTGAGACTTCTTCACTGATGTTGTTTGATGTTCTTGCTCTCAATGACGACCAATTTTGTTGCACATCCGTTTAATACCTATTATACACATTTTACATGCAGTATTGATTCAGAATGTTACGATAAGGGCGATATCACGATATCGCAATCTTAAAAATTGGCACGATATCTTCGTGGTCATGTCATGAAATAAAATGCAGCTCACCAGTTCAAAGTGCCAGGTTATTTTCTATCTGTGCAGTTCCAGCACCCTCTGGTGGTTAGTTTATTAGTGCAGTTTAATTTGAATTAGGCATATTTTGGCCATCTACGTTTCAGACCCCCGCTCATCGCCAGATGAAGGGGAACATAACATGTTTGAGGTTTTGTTTTTTTTTGGTGTATTTTGGATTCTACAGAATCATCATAATTTTGTCCATCAATAATCGTAATTGGTCACTGTAATTGCTCTTTTCGTCCCATTTCATCTCCATTCAGAGTAGAACCGGCATCATTACTCTTTCCCTGTAGAAAGACCCTCCAAATTGCAGCGTTACTGCTCCAATAAACAACAGATCGTCATTACGAAGGCATTTGAAGCTTCGAGGTCCACCTCCTGCGAGTACTTTTGATGCACGTCTCTGAGAAAATGGCAGAAATAATGACTGTCGCGGAGTTGAAATGAGCCTTGCCGCACAGAATTTTGCAACGCGTCCAACGAGGAGAGATTCTGGCAGTTAACGAACTCCCTCAGATCATCAGCGGGAAGCACAGCCCATCCAAAATCCTCATTAGGATGCTTTTTATAATATTTAATTTTCAGCAACACTCACTGGAACATTTGGTACCGCACATGCACACAGTGTCATTTGTGTTCACCAGCCGTCAAGTCAAACATGACTTCTCACTTCTCACTTGAGCTTGATGGCGGTAAAAATGTGCAGTTTTTATTTTTGAAGTGATAATGTTGGCTAAATATGCAGACCAGAAAGTCAATGAAAAACAAAAAGATCAGCACCGTTTGATTGACAGTGATCCTCATCTGGCAATGTTTCTCTTTTTTTGCGTCGAGGCTCCATATTTTGGAAGCATTACGGTACTCTTGATAAAATAAAAGCGCATTTGTCCCCAACTAAACACACATTTTGCTCCTTGATAGAGTTGGAAAGTGTTACTGGTTGGCGCTGATAATAAGTCTTGCTTGTCATCATTTGCATGCCAACATTTTGTCACTTCCACCATTCAGATGTTGGCTTCGTTTCTTAGTCGTTATTCCAATTAGACCAAATAAACAGTTTTGAGGGCGTTCCAGTCAACTCGCCTCACTTTGTAGGCACTTTCATGCTGTTAAGGTGTACATTTGAGCCTGATCTCCACTTGGGACAGTGGCTCTCAAAACTTTTTTACATGTACCAAGTACCGCCTCAAAAATGACTTGGCTCTCAGTCGCGCCATAATACCGCACTTTGGATAACATTTGCACTCTCTACACCGTTTCCACCCCGTTGATGAATTTCTCAGTCTATATCCATGAAAGTGTTCAATTTGGTGTTGATCCAAATTTGGATTGTTTGGCCTTGGTGGAGGTTTGGATTTGTGCTCTTTTTGTTTTGCCTCGTTCTCAATGTCATGGCGGCATTCAAGGACCCGCCCCTGTTCTTTGCAACAACAACAACAACAAAAATCCTCCATTCATGCACTTACTAATAAACAGCAGATGGGCCAATTAAGACTGCGGCCATCATTGAAGTGCCGATACCGGTATGTGTTCTTTGATATGTCCGTACATCCATCAATCCATTTTCTGTTGCGTTTGTGCTCACTGCGGCTGAGCTGGAGTCCATCGCAATGGACTTTTGAAGAGAGACAAGGTCCAACCTGGACTGGTCAAGAGTCAGTCTCTGCTACTTCCTGAAGTATATTCAGAGATAGATAGAACACAATAAACACTGGATGATAAAAAAAAAAAAAAAAATCACCGCGAATATTTGAGCTGAAACTGATACAAGTCATTCATTTAGTTCAACTTGAAATACTTCATGTAGCACATCTGCCTCCGAGTTCATAGGTTGTCAGTTCAAATCCCAGCTCTGTCCTTTATGGAGTTTGTATGTCCTTTCTAAGAACTTTCAGGTTGAACTAAAAGGACTGTTTGCGTTGTGTAAATAAGCCAATTCATTTGAATTTCAGACCGCTTGAAACTAAACTAAACACGTATTTTGTTCTTGATTGTGTTGGAACCCATTGACTCATGTCACTTATAATAAGCACGATGGAAAGGATTTTGTTCATCGATTCTCTCCCCCACCATTTATCATGCGGTTGTCGGACATGTTGGTGTATTAGAAACAAAGCACTTTTTAAAGAATGGATCTGAACATAGCTCGCAGGTGCTTTTGTGTTGCTTAACATATTAAAAGTCTAAATGGAGCTCTGCCAAGCAAGATAAGCTCTCTGTTGTTGCTTTTGGATGTCAGGGACGCTCTGCACACTGTCACACATGCGCGCGCACACACATGCGCACACGCACACACTTGTATAATGACCCCCTATCATACATCATTGACGTCTCATACTCTCATTGTGCCGCCATCTAAATGTATTATCTGCAAATGCATGTAAGTGGCAAATTAGCCATTCAGTCTAAAGAAAACGGCCACCACGATGAACACAAGCCCCTTTATTTTATTATGCACACCCCGCTCCCAAAGGAAATGCACCGAATCCATCAAAGAAACTAAACTCATACTGAAGGTGATATATGGCCCTGTTGTCCGTGCTCATTAATTAAATACATCAATTTATTGTGCTGGCACTCGATGATAACTTTGGAAAACGTTGCTAAAAGTTAAATCACAGCACGACTCGATTCAGTTTTATTGAGAGAGCAGCCATCCCACTGTTATTTGAATCCGCTTTATTCTCATGACGGCCGTGGGCTTGCGATCACAGCTTAAAAAAAAACAAAAAAAAAAAACAACAACAAACGACAACCACAGTTGCGTTAAACTGCTGTTCAGAAAAAACGAATGTAAAAAAAATTAAATAAAATAATCCTATAACAGTAATAACAAAACTTAAAAGTACTGAAAATTTAGCAATTTAGGTGGCGACACATGATCAGCTAATCATGTCCTCGTCTGTAGATTTAGTATTTTTTGATGAAAGATGGATGTATGGATGGATGTTATTTCGGAAATATACCATTGAAACAACGCCCGCCCTCCTCCCAAAAAATTGAAACAAAAAAAAAATCTGACTAACCATTATTCATGTTTTGTTTGCTTTTCGATGTTGACATGTCTCATGTGTTATTTTAGAAAATACATACCGGTACTTTAACAGCATAAAAGAAAACATTTGTATGCAAAAATATCCATAATGACCACTCCTACTTTTCTTTTGGACACACTATATTTTGAATGATCATCATGGCCTTTAACTAATGCAAACATTTTTTTAAACTTCCAACCTTTCATACACACTGTTTTTCACGTTACACACACAGATCAACTTTCCATATGTCACTTGTGGGGAGCACCACACACACAGACAGCCAAGTATTCGTATTCCCAAATGAATTATGCAATCTTATCACACACACAAGCGATGTTTTATTATATGTTTATGTCCATGCATAGTTTTTTGCAATGCTGTGGTCATCTTTTTATGTTGTTTATCCAGCAGGAGGGTGCATCAGCCAGCTTACCCCATCTGGAGCCCCCCAATGTTGAATTAATTGGCTCTGTAGCAGCTATTGCTCTCTGTAATTGGTCCATGCTAAAAAGGTGTGTGAACCGCAGATGTTTGGACAATGTCAGGATGAGTAGTGCCAGCGGAGGCCTTTCCTTTTCTGTAATGAACCCACGACTGGGGACATTTCGCACCAGCCGAAGCAAACTAGAGTAGGCAGATGCGGGCTCGCCGCTAATGAGGGGCTTCTTCCCGCTCTTCCTCTTCGAGACAAAGCTGTATTTGATCACGGGTGATGATGATGATGATGATGAGGATGATTAGCCTTTCCAACCAAACAATCACCAATGCTCACAGTGATAGTACTCTTGAAAATCTCACTTCCTGGAACATGCGAATGCATTTCCTCCAACAACTTAGCCTGGCGGACAACAGTATCCCTTGTGGTGCCTTCCAGAAATAAAATTAGAAACTTTTGGTGGATAAAAGTGTGTTAGGACCTCAGAGAGGATTGCCTAAATTCATGGATAGTATCTCTCTTTAGCCCCTCCCACTATTTTTCAGGTGATATACAGCTACTGGTGGCTGTACTGGTGGCTTCAGTCCATCATGGTGTGGCACCGCGATGCTACCAGATGGCGCTACAGCAATCATTTTATATTAGACATGGCTTTGGCCTGAACACAAAAGTAGCAAATCGCCCCTCCCCCCCCAAAAAAAAATCTGATACGCATATTCGCAAATGCTAAACCGTGATGGTGATCGATGTTCAAGACGTCTTTCAATTCCATCCGAAGTAGGTTGATTGCCCCTCGGCTCTCTTCCAGAACGACACGTGGAGCGAGCTCTACTCCTTCGCCCTCTTCAAGGCCATGAGTCACATGTTGTGCATCGGCTACGGACGCCAAGCCCCCGAGAGCATGTCGGACATTTGGCTCACCATGCTCAGTATGATCGTAGGGGCCACTTGCTATGCCATGTTCATCGGCCACGCCACTGCACTCATCCAGTCTCTCGACTCGTCCAGGCGCCAGTACCAGGAGAAGGTAAGGACGTCCTTTTTTTTTTTTTTTTTTTGCGGGGTGGGAGTAATTTCATTTTGGTGTTTCTCAATTTCCTTCATATTTTAGATCACAGCGCAAGAGTGACAGCAATTTGAGAGCATTTTGACTGATTTTCCAACACTATAGAATAGTGCGTTCAGTTAATTATTTTTTATATTGAATCTACCAAATGAAAGAATAGACTCTTCTTTCACCAGAATATTTTTTCCATTCTTTAGTCAGCTAATCAACCACAAGTTTTAAGAAATTCAGACGCTTTGCCCAAAATAGCTTTTTGTCTAAACAAACGTGTCTCATTCTTTGCTGAGATATGTTTTTTCTGAATTCAAAATGATTTTGCGTGTTCAGAACTGACCAAACAAATCATTAAAATTAAATGTCGCTACCACATCCAGCAGAGGAGGCGAAAGTAAAAAAAAAAAAAAAAAAAGCCCACTCTGCGTGATAATTGGTTCAAACTTTTTGTAAAGTGGAACGGTGTGGCTAAGCAACTCATGATTTTTCAGTCTAACTAAAGTGCCGTATTTAGAATTGTCTCCTTGGTGCCCTGTTTTTTTTTTTTTTGTTTACAATGTCTTTTGGTCTTGTTTGCTAATGAACTCAGCTCCAACTTGTTGCTATTTGCAGACTCCCACAGTGTCACTACTATCCCTGGGGGGTGAAATGTATGCTGGCCCGCCTGTTTGTGTTCATTTGCTTGGTCCTAGCTACTTTACATCTTTTTTTTTAAAATGTCAACCGGTATAATTGGACTGAGGTGGAAGGTGTCCTGTTGTGTCCTTTGAAGACCCGATGGTGCAGCGTTGTTTACCTGGAGTTACCAGATGTGGTCAAACATGACATTCTCTTCAAAGTAGCTGCAATATCCACAAATGCAACGGATATATATTGCTGCACCATGTCAGAGGAATTGATTTATGGTTGGGCTGCAGGGGAAGTTCTCAAAGCAGTGTTTTTAAACTGACTATGGAAGGCATAATTGGGTAAATAGTCTGCTGGCTGCTTTACTGTAGTATCTGTCTTCTGTCAGTAACTTCTACAACAGTCAATTTCCTTTTTTCTTTTTTTTTTCGTCCACTAGCAATTTAGCAACATGGTGCGAGATGACCACCCTGGAGGCTCGTAGATAAGAATACAAACAATGTCAATTGACAAATGTTTCTGAAAATCAAATAAGGTCCAATATAAGCACCGAATTAAAAAAGAAAAATCAAATTTCTCAAAGTTTGTTAAAATGAACTTTTATCCAGATCCACATCAAAAGTGAATATTCTTAAAATAAGTGGAAAATTATGTCCAGTACAAAAAAAAAAGCTCAGCATAATGTAATGCAAAACACCAAAGATGTGCTAATGAATGACTATTTGAGCACAAACGGTGGAGCAACATATTTAGACGGACAATACAACAGTACTCTCAGGCATATATTATTTATCCTTTGCAAAAAAAAGGGGCATTTCTTTAGCTTACTGAGTCACTTGTTAAATTCCTCTTCATGTCCTAATATGTTTATGTTATCCTGCCGCCAGTTTTCCAAAGCACGCAAACACCTGAAGGAGCATTGCAGTGCCCATTTGAATTGAAACAAAAAAAAAAATGTGGCAACACCTGTTTGATTATTTAGCGTACCACACATCATAGAGGTAGGGGGGAGAGGAATGGCCAGAGGGTCACATTTGTCCACAATGACTTTGTGGTCCTCTCTTCACATGGAGGTGAGCGCTGCCTTCGTCTTGTCTTCCTCCACGTCTTCATCTTCAGTCCTCGCATCCCCGCCGCACCTCCTTCATTAATTCACCCTTGAGTGTCTAGCGACGCAACCATCTGCCCGCGGAGGTGACACATGGAAATGGGACACTGACTATTATGTAACTGAACCCCCCCCCCCACCCCCCTTTTTATGGTGCAGTGATGGGGAGCATGTGATCACCCCCCCACGAGACCAACAGTGATGAGTACACAGTCACTAGACCTTGACTCAAAAAGGGAGAACTTGGCTAATCACGTTTGCAATCATTGAGGCCATCGGGTACCACAACCACCGGGTACAGAGACACCTTGTCATCAAGCTGCATTCGAGAAAGCGGACATTTTAGACCCCGTCTAGTAGACGGGCATTGCAAGGCTACCCAAAATTGGATTTTTTTTTTCTTGGAACTGGAAAAAAAAGGCATCAGTATACATGTGTCAATCAGAGTAAGCGCAATTAAATGCAACCCCTCGGTCACACACGTGACGCATAGATTTCTTTAACGTGGACTTTTACGCTACACCAACTCTCGGAGCCCGGTTGACTTTTGAGTGACGCAGCCGCTAATCTCAGACTAATGCCGCGGAAATCAGAAAGTCAACAAAACTTCCAATGACAACAACTTCTTAAAAGAGGCGGCGGGCGCGAGCGAGCGAGCTGTCATTTGGCTTTAATTGAGAGTGTCACACACTCTGACTCCCCAGGCTGCAAACATTTAATAGGGGCCGCCTGGCTTATCCCACTTTGGCGCTTGTATTGGTCAGCAGTCTTGAATTTTAACCCTTACATGCACCCTGTAACCTGATAACATGATCAGCTGTCCTCTGTAGTAACCGCTGTCCCTGAAAAGGTTCATTTCTAATAATTTTTTTTTAAACAATATAACTTTTTATTCTTCAATGTAAAATAACACAAACATACCAAAAGATATGTTGGTGCAACAGTGCCACCTGAATATAATTTTTAAGTTTTTTTTCAATGCTAATAAAATTTTTTTAGAACTAGGGGTAATTTTGTGCTATCTGATGTTTTTTGTTGTTGTTGATTTTAATTAATTATTAATTAATTTTATTAAATGCAATTAATGTGTTGCTTTCAAGTACTTTCACACAGAATGCAAAGTATATCCTCATGCAGTATACCAAGACTAATTAATGTTTAACCCTTTCAGGGACAGCGGTTACTACAGTGGACAGTTTACCATGTTATCAGGTTACGGGGTGCATTCATATTTTTCCTAAAATTCACAATATTTGAAGTGAACGGTGGACTTTCATGCAGTTCAACAAGAAGCGAGAAGCCGCGAGGAAGATTTGATGTGTGAGTGGTTGTTGATGCCGTGTCCCCTGACCCTTTCCTTGGAAAATACCCCTCAATCCAATTGACAGTTGAGCCCACAGAGCCATGACTCACGCTGCGTGACACACACACACACACACACACACACACAGACAGGCACGGCATCATACATCAAGGTTAATACGTTCCTAACAGAACGTCATTGGCACGGTGTACGACAGGTTGCAATGTTTTAATAAAGCAGTGGCGAATGTGCACACACTCGACGAAGTCCTTGCGTTACATTTTAAAGCTCCAAGAGGTTTCTCGTCAGCAGTCTCCTGGTCTCAATTATCGAGCAATCTTCTTCAACCCGACTGATTTTGAAAAGTGTCAGTCTGTGAAAAAAAAAAAAAAAAAGTGGCCTGTGCGCACATGGTACTTTTTTGAATTCTACCAGAGATTATTTTCTTCCTGAGACTCTTGAATCTTTAGGGGATTGTTTTGTTTTGATTGCCACAAGACCTCTATTTGTTTTAAAAAAAAAACCCAAAAAAACCACATCAGGCACAGGTCAGCAGGCCAATTATTTTCTTCTGTTGTTTCTTCTATCTTTGCAGAATTACATTTGCTATTTCATAACAAGAATTGAGATGGAAAGAAAAGGGGATATAAAAAGAATGCACATCCCTTGTTCAAATGCCAGGATGTCGAGACATATTTCCACTGTCCACTGTAGTGACCACTATGCATAAAAATTAGAGGGACAATTTCTTCCATGCTTTTCCCATATTTCCCATTATTTCCATACACAAAACATATGGATGCATTCATTTTACACACATCATGATTCTTCTTCTTTTCATTCCAGGATGGTGGAAAATGCATATGTCGTTGTAGCTATGATGTCTGTGGATGGGGAATCATTGAAATCTTTGTTCCGTGGCGGACACGCCGTCATTCCACTGCCAAGAAGCTTCCATCGAAGCATCAAGAGACATTGTGTTTGCATTCGCCACATTCCATGTATACATCAAGGTCGACTGTCTGCAGAGGCAAACATGACATACTCTTTTATTTGCGCATGCCCTCGCCTTTGCCTCCTTTTATTTATTCATTAATTCTGGACGTGGAATCATTGAGAAAGGCGTGCCTTTAGTCATGAAAAAAAAAAAGAAGAAGAACAAAGGTGCCTGGGGGAATATGGTCAAAGTATTTAATATTTCAGGGCCACAATTTATTCCATCTGAATAAAGCATATGAGCAAGCTATATTGATGCTATTATGAGTCAACGAAATGCACATTCAATAGTATATCAGTGTAGTGGTAATTGTATAGCTCATAGTATCAGTGGGACAGAAGTCATAGAATTTTTAGTCGCAAGATTTGCATGTCGCAGTGTTTTAACGTAGCGTCTCTCTGCGGTGTAAAATCTCTCCTCTTTGTGACAAGACATCAACTCGCTTGGAGTTTCCCAATTGTTTATTGTTTACAGCAACAATTATACAACCGAAACAGCCGTTTACAGCAACATTATGTGGTCGTGATAAAAAAAAAAAAAAACACACACACACACACACACACACACACACACACACAAAAAAAACCAAAAAAAAAAACCGATGCGATTCAGCGTCTTCGAACAGCAGGTGTCACGTTTCAGCTAATTGCCTGGAGGAATAAACAGGTCACGTGCTTCTCGTGTGAATCCGCGTTTCTCGCCTGAATATCACGAAGCACTTCTTTTTTACGTAGACCTCTGCTCGTCAATCTGACATAAATATGGACAAACGTTGTGTGCGCCTCTCCTCTCTCCCCCCACCCCCCAAACCCCACCAACCTCACCCCCTTCTTATCTTCCTCTCCGTGGCGTTCAGTATAAACAAGTGGAGCAGTACATGTCGTTCCACAAGCTGCCGGCAGACTTCCGGCAGAAGATCCACGACTACTACGAGCACAGATACCAGGGCAAGATGTTTGATGAGGAGAGCATTCTGGAGGAGCTTAATGAGCCTCTCAGAGAGGTAGCCGACACACACACACACACACACACACACACACACACACACACACACACACACACACACACACACACACACACACACACACACACACACCCCCTAAGCCCATTAGTCAGTCTTTGCCGCCATGCTGCTTGAATATTGATACAGTTACACCAGCAGTCACCTTTGGTGTCTCTTGTTAATTAAGTCTCCTTAAAATAGTAGTAAGTGCAAGTAAAGGGTCAGTATTTATCATCGGGTTTTTTTGTTTGTAGGATTAAAAAAATGTAATTTAAAATATTCGTCTAAATTTATAATAAGGCTGAAATTAGTATTATATTATGTATGTGCATAATACAATAAATTAAACTGAAGTGGGGCATATTATAACCTTTACTCACTCAATTATCTAAAGTAATATAGAAGAGAAAAGATAAAATAAGGAAAGATAAAATAAATATGAAACCTCTGGTGGATGTTGTTTGTTTAGCGTACTTCATCGTACTTCATCAATTACCCTGCAGAACTGTGCAAACAAGAATCAAGGGCTCGCTTATGAGAATACAATAGTAAAATTTTAACGGCAATAAATTCAGAGTTATGAGAAAAAAAATTGTCATTTCATGATGATAAAGGCATGATGTTGTAATAAGGATAAAGGCTTACTATTTTGAGGGGGAAATGTAATTTTAGAGAATATCGCCTTAAAGAAAAATGTTGCAATATTATGAGAAATAGACACAATTTAAAATTCTGAGATTAAAAAACAACAAAAACAAATCTTAATATCATATGGAGATGTTATTTAATACAAAGTGAGTCATATAATAAAGTGGTTATTTGTGAAAATAAAGGCATCCTGTCAGAAGTCTGATTATTTTAACGGGACGTCGTCGTCCCGATCAGGAAATCGTCAACTTCAACTGCCGTAAGCTCGTGGCCTCCATGCCTCTGTTCGCCAACGCCGACCCCAACTTCGTGACGGCCATGCTGACCAAGCTGCGCTTCGAGGTCTTCCAGCCGGCCGACTACGTAGTGCGCGAGGGCACGATCGGGAAAAAGATGTACTTCATCCAGCACGGCGTGGTCACCGTCCTCACCAAAGGCAGCGTGGGCATGAAGCTTGTCGACGGATCCTACTTTGGAGGTAAGCACCGCGATGGGAAAAACCCTTTCAACATTTATTCCACATCCATCTTATGTTTCTTGTAATAGTACACTCTCTTTATATATATATATATATATATTTATTTATTTATAATATTGAAGTGCAATGTTTGTCCTGAATGTCATTCCAAACACGCACAAAAATTATTAGACCAACTTCACGTTACAGAATAAGACGCCGTATAAGCACAACTAAGCCATCTCTGCCATCTAGTGATGAATGCTGATATTACAACTTAAAACTGCAGGCAAACTCTGCGTACTTGTAGTTCGACACACACACACACACACACACACACACACACACACACACACACTGAATCTTACAAAGAGCATACTACAGTGGTTCTTTACCTTGTTCGAGGTACCGAACCAACAAAAATATGACCTTTTACAAATTCAAGACACAAAAAAACGCATTTATTAAAAACAGACAAAAAGTAAATAACATTTCAAGACATACGTTTTTTTTTAAATTTTACGACGTACTATCACGACAGTCACACGTATGCCATACTTGTAGGTTGACCTAAAGGTGGTGTGCTCTCGTTAGCACGACTAAGACGAGTTTTGTCTCACGGGTAACATGGAGTTGACCTCCGAGTATGCCAACGTTGTCGTAATATCATACGGAAGAGGAATTTAGGAGTGTACAAAGAGTCCACTAGTCCGGACAAAGAGCATACTAGTGCTTTAAGCTGCATAGTGCAGATATCAAATAAATATACGGATATCAGACGGCATTCCATACAGAGGTGGCAAAACTACTTGCACTGTACTAAAGTAGAAGATACTTGTGTTAAAAAAACAAAAATAAAACAGACTCTGGTAATGGTAAAAGTAGTGATTAACCCTTTCAGGGACAGCGGTCACTACAATGGATAGCTTATCATGTTATCAGGTTATAGGTTATCATTATTGTTGCATGAAAGGGTTAAACTCCTGTCAGAAAGTATTTGTACTTGGTTACTTCCCGACAAAGAAGACAAAGAAAAAAAAAAACGGCCCCGTCAGCATCATGCGTAATGCAGGTGCAGCCCATTGGAGCAACACAATAGAGATGATGATGATGATGATGATGACGATGACGCGGTCATTTGTCATGTCTCCCCACTTTTCATGAGTGCGCACATGGACACTCTCGACGGTATTCGGGCACGTGGTTGTCAAGACGACGGGTCAAAGAAGAAGAAGATGCAGAAAGAAAGAAGAAAAAAAAAGTGAACGTAATGGAGCTTAGCCGGCCCGCTTCCAAATATAGCGTGCGCTCCATTAAGGCAGCCTGTCAGCCTGACGCCTCTCACAGTCAGCGGGTCGAAGTAAAAAAAACATATTGACCCAGTAGTTCCTGAGATGTACAGTAAGGGTTCAAAGAAAAGGCGTCCATGCCCTTTTTTGACAAAGTCATTAAAATTCAGGGGGCCGTAGCTCCCAAACCCAGACTCGGATTGACCTAAGATTTGAGATTTTGAGTTGTGCAAAGGCGACCCGGTGGACGAGTGGTTAGCGCATCGATTTCACAGTACAGAGGTTCGATTCCAGTTCCAGCCTCCCTGTGTGGAGTTTGCATGTTCTCCCCGTGCCTGCGTGGGTTTTCTCCGGGTACTCCTGTTTCCTCCCACATTCCAAAAGCATGCACGGCAGGCTGATTGAACAATTGTGTCCATTTATTTTCCTTCTCTTCCGCAGAGATCTGTCTGCTGACCCGCGGTCGACGGACAGCCAGCGTGCGGTCGGACACGTACTGCCGCCTGTACTCGCTCTCTGTGGACAACTTCAACGAGGTCTTGGAGGAGTATCCCATGATGAGGCGCGCCTTTGAGACGGTCGCCATCGACAGGCTGGACAGGATAGGTGAGTCCATGTGATTGGATGACGGATGTCACCTGTCTTTGGGACTGCAAAGGGGTCGGAAGCCACTCACCCTTTTTACCCCTATAGGACTACTTTTGTGATCTATTTAGCAGCTTGTGCTTAGGCAGTTTCAAAGGGGAGTCATAATTGTTGTCGGAAAGCGTCTTAAAAATTCATCCCGAAAGATTTTGGTTCCCTGGTATGATGAAGACACAGGTTGAGAACCGTGTCTTGTTCACAAAAGCCCGGGAGTCATTCACGAGAGGAAACGAAGCATAAGGAACGGCGACACTGACTGATTGCTGTAATGAATAGCAACGAAGATGTGTCATGAAGGGAGCCTGAAAATGTATTCGCAGCCGGGTTTGATTTCTTCTCACTGGAGACGTGTCACTACACTGAAACACCCTCTTAGCACATCTCACACCTTTTTCTCATTCATTTAAACTAGCATGGATACATTTGTGTGTGTATGTGTATATATGTACATGTATATGGTTTTTAGAATATCATGGCAGGCCAGATAAAATGATCTTGGAGGCCACATATGGCCCACGGGCTGTCAGATCCCCGCCGTGTGCTTGAATTAAACAAGCGGTCCCCAACCTTTTTGCCTCATGGACCGGTTTAATGTCAGGCAATATTTTCAGGGACCGGCCTTTTAAGGTGTGACGGATAAAAACGGTGGTATTTTCGAAACATAATAAACACGAATCATGACACGAGGAACGTCCTATCTGGCACCAACGCTCTCTGGTCGCTATGGTAACGTTTAAACGTGCCTTCAAAATAAGGTACACTGCAAATACAAAGTGCATGAAAAATACGACTCGTCATCTCCGCCTATTATGCAGAGTGGGCTTGATGCGTGGGAATCTCCCGTTGAGATAAATCCGTATTTACTTCTGATACTATTAAATGTAGCCTTCTTTTTCTTCAAAGTCGTAGGCTCCTTTTCTGTCTCCTGGCAGCCTTTTCCCCTTCCCAAAGAAACTTTCCAAAGACGTTTTTACTTATTTTGCTAGCTCCTTGGTTTCATTTTAGCGCTAACCTATCACTTGACCAAGAAGCGCACCTTGACCTGCGTCAAGAGTGACACACTGTCGACGGATGGAACAGAGAATCCGGTAATTTTTCAAAATAAAACATCTTTCAGATTCCGAAATAAATAAAGCAGAAGTAAGGTAAATTATTTATTCTTTCTGGGCGGCCCGGTACCAAATGACCCACGGACCGGTGCCGGTCCGCGGCCCAGGGGTTGGGGACCATGGCTTTAAACTGTTCCGTTGCAACGACTTTGGGAGAAGATTGACAGTCATAGCCATGTTCAGAAATGCCCTCGATGCTCCCTTTCACAAGTCAGCTCGCCTTTATATATTTGTAAAACGTCCCAGCTCCTCTCATCTGTTGCCATAGCAGCCACATTCCACACACAAGCAGCCCGCCGGTCAGCTTGCGAATTTGGCGGGGTGTGTTTAAAACGCTAATCAACCAAAAACATTTGCCCTATGCACTCAGTGGACGATAATCACCCAAAGTGCCTTCTGTTGTGTGTGTTTGTTTGTTTGTTTGTGGGGGGGGGGGGGAATCAAACAGCAGCTGCGCCATGAATACATAATCTGAACAGACTTGAAAATAATGACCCAATCAATGCATCTCCGTGCGTTAACAGTATTCCAATATCAGCATCTGGTTTCAAAGCATACGGCACGCTTCAAAGATTTCACAATCAATCATCCCTGAGCATGAATACTTATTGAGGATCCATACAGCTGTCAAAACGTCAACCGCCACATAAACACAAACACGCGCTTTGGATTTCATTGCCTCATGTCCTCAGTGCTGGTGAGTGAAATGTCAAATATTACGTCTCGTATACTTCCTGTCATTCAAAAGTATTTCTCGCATTTCATTTGTAGTCTGTTACTTTGTGTTGCTTTGGAGATATTTCAAAAGGAAGCACACCGAGTATGACACTGAATGCATCAACGGTGCCTGAACAACAGATGACAAATGAAAATCTTAGTCGGTCAAATTTCCTTTGACCTTTTAAGAAGGAAAAGAATCTCTTTGTTTTTCACGTTCAAGGACACCGCAGCCGTTTTGAATGCATCAACGATGCCTGAACAATAGATGACAAATGAGAATCTGAGTCGGTCAAACTTCCTTTGACCTTTTAAGAAGGAAAAGAATCTTCTTTGTTTTTCACGTTCAAGGACACCGCAGCCGTTTGTCTGCGGGATGTTGTGGGTCGACGGTCTTGAACCGGGGTCCCCATGAGGCCCTCCGTTACCATAGCAACAACACGACCACGTTTTCTTTCTCATTTTAGGCAAGAAGAATTCCATCCTGATGCACAAAGTTCAGCACGACCTCAACTCCGGCGTGTTCAACAACCGCGAGAACGAGATGATCCAGGAGATCGTCAAATACGATCGCGAGATGGTTCAACAGGTGGACGTGCCGCGACCGCAGCCCTCGTCCGTAACGCCGCCCCTGCGCTCCGGGGTTTTTACTCCGCCGGGTTCCTCTCAACAGCCGCAAAGTTCCGCTGTCGCCACCTTGCAGCAGGCAGTAGCCATGAGCCTTTGCCCACCCGTGCAAGGGAACTCGGTGGGGGGTGGGACATTGCAGTCTCCCAGGATGATGAGGAGATTCCAGGTGTTGCAGAATGTATCCACCCCTGGCTCACCGTTGCAGTCACAGCTCCTTGCTTCCGGTGCCTTTGCCTCAGTCATGTCCAGCCCCACTGTCCAGAGCCCCCCTTACGGATCCAGCATGCTGGCTGGTCCCGCGACCGGCTCCCAACTGTCTTTGGTCCAGCAGCGACACAGCACGCATAAGAGCACGCATTCCTTGCCAATGGGGAGTCTCAACCAAGACACCAGGGCTCTGTCGGCCTCTCAACCCTTGTTGCCGCACGAGGGGATGCACCCGGGTGCCCCGAGTCCACCCCCTTCCACGCGGGTCTCCTCCACTTCCATCGGACCAGTTCAGACCCCGTCGGGTAACGCAAGTGTCTGCAGTGCGATACCGCATAGGATTGTGCTACCCCACCAGCTTTCAGTGGGAGCCTTCGGGACGGGAGGAGGTTTCGCCGTGGGAACACCCGTCGGGGACTTGGTACGGCCCAAAAAGGACTCCATCGCGAGCCTTCCAGAGACGGAGCACATCAAAGTACGATCCCGGTTATCCTCGAATTTGTGATCATACCGAAAGCCTTTTTGGACTTCACGAGGGGCTTGACATGAGGAATATGAGGAAACGGAGGTGCGCCAGCGGGACTGCATGAATGTATGCAATGATTGACTGGCGGAAGTCGACTCTGAGACAGTATTTAACTTTAGACACTTTTGCATTGAGTTGTTTCTACTCACAGATATAAAACTAAATGCACAGAATGATAGCGTAGCATAAGCGCACCCACCCACATTTGCCTCCTTTGCGTAAGGTAAGTTCACAATGCACTGTATGCCTCAATATCCTTGTATCCACTTTGTTTGACTGAGGACTGGAATAAGAACAGGAACTTGCGTCTGAGTTTCTGATTCACAACGCTAGCTTTAAACACCGTGCTATAATAGAGACGTGTGTCATTAGCATCCATTACAGAGCTCAGTCTTCTAGGCTCAAATGTACGATGGTAGACTGACTAATTCTTCTGTGCCGCATCGAAGTGTCGTATCTGAAGTTCGATCGTATTGTAAAGTTTTGGCACACAACAAAGCAAAAAGTTGACTGAACAATCGCTCCTAACTCAGAAATTGGTGCACTCATCAAGGCACTTTAGCAATCAACAAAAGCCAGAGCAGTTCTTAATCCAATCTGACTTTGGGCAAGAAGTAGAGTACAGCCAGGACTGGTTGCCAGCCAATTACAGGGCATCGTTCTTACCCCCCAAAAACAAAATACCAAAACTTAATCTAATCCACCCCTGCGTCGATTTAGGCTGTGACTCACGCCAGACTTGTACTGGGCAAGAAAACAGAGCCTCAATTATTTTGTCTCTAAAATTCAGTGGATCCTCTGAGATCAACCATGTGGAATTCAACCGCATGCTTTTTTTTTGGACCCTTAATCCCCCCAAAAATGCATTTTGCAGTTCATTTCATCCATTCTGATGAGCTGTCAACATATAAAACTATCATTAAAGCATATTATTAAAAATCAGTCAATTGCCTAAAGTGGACCCGCCGTCATAGCTTGTGCAATGTAAACACAGTTTGGATCAACGGCCAAGTGCTTCGGGCTTTGAGTGGCGGCTCACCCGTGCCCTCAAAGCCCCAATAAGGGTTCATCGGATGCCACCGATTTGTGTCCAAGCTCTCGCTGTCTCTCAATGGAATGGGACATTCCATTCAGCTCATCTCCTTAATGCCGGCTGCGCCATTACCGCCTAATGACAGTAGAAAATGGAATCCCTCGGGTCTGATAGGGACTCTTATTAATTCCCCTTACACTGGAATTCATTATTCTGCGCCAATAATGATTTCTTTCCCCCCAATGATGATGATGACACTTTTCATTTTGTTCACTTTGCGTACTGTATCTGGAGACTTTCAAAGCGTTTTATTTGAAGCAGCATTTTTTTTTTCAGGTCAGTTGTGTTTTTGTTTATGCCTGAACAATGCTTTGGTGGAACCTATTTTTGGGTGCTTAAAATTACACTGGAAAGCTTTTTTATTTTACTAAATGATTTAATCAGATGCAAGCAGGCTTTGGTAGATGATTTTTTTTTCTTTTTTTTTTGCGCTGATTCCAAATATGCGGCATGGCTCAGTGGTGGAGTGGTCGTCTCCCCAACCCAGAGGTTGGAGGTTTGATACCTGGCCATTGCGACCTTGTCGAAGTGTCCTTGAGCAAGCTACTGATCCGAAGCATTTTACGTAACACTAAAGAAGACTCGAAATTGTCCATAGGTGTGAATGGCAGTGCCAACGCTTATTTTTTACGTGCCCTATGATTGACTGGTGACCAGTCCAGAGTGTATCCCACTTCTAGCACAGCCAGGAGCTCAGCTGCACCCGAAATGAGGACAAGCGCCACAAAAAAAAGTTAAAAATGGACAGATGGACGATACAGTACTGAGAATGTGGTGCAATAAGAAACCGGGTTGGATTGTAAAAGGAATACAAATTGTGAAATCCAAATATCTCCGACAATAAATCAAAATCAATATTCACAATCGGGCTGCTGAGAACTATAGGCTAACTCCATATTTTTGTCTTTTTTGTTTTTTGCTTTTTTTTACGTGGAGTGCAGAAATGAACAGCAGATGAATATTCGTCGATTCAACACTTTTTTTTTCCCTAATTCCTTAGTGCAACGCTAGGTTGCTCGTGAATATCTAGCTAGCATTTCTCTTTACTTTTCCACCGCAGCAATATAACAAGTACATTTTCGAACTGTTGGACCAAGGGCAGCCATGATGCAAAGTGTTTTTTTCCATACAGGGAGATTTCTTATTGCAGTGAACTGGAAGTAGATGTGATTTACTTCGAGCTTCTTTGATTAGCGTATCCACTCTGCAAGTCCAAAACAAACTGTGCATACCTACATAGTGCCTAGCATTATACTGTTGTCTCCACATAATATATTCTTTGTGTGTGTGTGGCTGTCCAATATTTGTCCCTTATACTCCACATTTCAATGCAATAGAATAAGAATAAAACACAGTATAGTTGAGTACAGTCAGTGTGATTTCTAATGCTTCCTGTTCCAGGAACTCGATTTTTTGCATGTCGGAAAAGCACCGCCCCCAAAAAAAAAAGAAAAATCAAGTGACCCCATTTTTTTTTAATGCAATAAAGGATTGTGAAGGTGCATATGCCAATAGTTTTCCCCCTCTCACACAGTTTGAGTGATTTCCGAAAAAAAATAATCTAGAGAGGCGCAATTCCAAAAATAATACATTTTTCATTTAATCAGAGCTGACAGACCGCGCAAAAACAAATACCTTTCAACTGAGCGATAGGACATTGGCGGACACGAAGTGGTCAATCTCCATCATAAACAAGCAATCATCAGTTTTATGAAATGATGTAACGTATAAATAGGTGAGCAGATGTGATCAACTTCAACGACGCTGAAAGGCCGCTCACTCGGAAAGACAGTCTGAGCGGCATCTCCTCGTTTGTTTGGGCACGTTGTTCTTAAAAGTACTGTTCAGACTCCGCTTGCGCTATTTTTAAAGTATTCCATGTTAAAAAAAAAAAGAAAAAAGTTTCTGAGGCTGTGGAAAGCTTTTGTGATGACATCTTGTTTGAACAAGCGTGTTCTTTGTACTTTTTTGGGACGGTTGTCACATCCTCCCATGACAAAGGAGGATGGAGAGCCACACTGAAAAGAAAAATAAGACTATCGGAATTATTATGAGACTAAAGTATCATTTTAAGTTGGGTTTTTTTTTTCCGCAGAGAGAGGCCTTTTTATCCAGAGGGGGGAAAAAAAAGAATTTAATCGTAGTCATATTCTTGTTTGACAGGTTTACATGAATTTCCAAGGAAATTTTTTTTGTGAATTAGAAACTTTAGCCACATTAAAAAAAAATAGAAAAAACATCAGATTTTGTTGTCTCTTTTTTTCTTCCTTGAAAAACTTTTTTTCCGTGAAGGTATGACATTTTGAAGTCATATCTTCACGTGAAAATGTTTTCAACATAAATATTACAAGATTATAGTCTATATTCAAGGAGCAGAGATGAAAGTGGACTTTTCTGAAGATTGCGGGGAAAAAAATTATACCTATATATA